TCACTATCAATTTCAATAAAATTGAGTGAATGCCATTTCAAAACATTCAAAAAGATATTAATGTAAAATTAATTAATATAAAAAATCTTAATAATTTAAAATACTTACATCTCTCCGTTCATACAGGTAGTCCTTTTCTCTGAAAACATAATAAATACAAAAACACAGGAAATGACAAAATGCAAATATAATTACACAATCCAATAGGAATTAGCACAATATATATAGGTAGGCATTCAACATACAGGACAGTTGCCCCAGGGTAATAAACACTTGCAGAGAGAAGATGATGCCAGTTTATCTTACCCTTTAATCAACACTGGTAGAGAGAAGATGATGCCAGTTTATCTTAACCTTTAATCAACACTGGTAGAGAGAAGATGATGCCAGTTTATCTTACCCTTTAATCAACACTGGTAGAGAGAAGATAATGCCAGTTTATCTTACCCTTTAATCAACACTGGTAGAGAGAAGATAATGCCAGTTTATCTTACCCTTTAATCAACACTGGTAGAGAGAAGATAATGCCAGTTTATCTTACCCTTTAGTCAACACTGGTAGAGAGAAGATAATGCCAGTTTATCTTACCCTTTAATCAACACTGGTAGAGAGAAGATAATGCCAGTTTATCTTACCCTTTAATCAACACTGGTAGAGAGAAGATAATGCCAGTTTATCTTACCCTTTAATCAACACTGGTAGAGAGAAGATAATGCCAGTTTATCTTACCCTTTAATCAACACTGGTAGAGAGAAGATAATGCCAGTTTATCTTACCCTTTAATCAACACTGGTAGAGAGAAGATGATGCCAGTTTATCTTACCCTTTTGCTGTTGCAGCTGTGCCGGTTGGCTTGACAGCTGTTTTCTGTCTTTCTTCCTGCGCAATCTCACCATTCTGAATATCATACCATTCAAATAGTGTCTTCAATAACGATGGCAGACAGTGTTCAGCCACTGAACTCAATGAACTTAACAGCTACAAGATAATAAAAAGAAAACCGTATTAATATTCAAAAGTTAAAAGTTGAACTTATAAAATTTAAGAAGGGCACAAATGTAATTGCTTTGGATGTTAGTCTGATTGTCTTGATACCCACATACCATTAGATATTTGTATCACAATTTCACTGAGTGAAAGACAT